ACCAACAGAAGTATAAATCAAGAGGCAGCGTCCAGCCATTCATTCCTTCCTGCGTGAGCCATGCGGAAGCGCTGCCCAGGCGTCTTGTGCGAGGTGGTCTGCAGCTGTCTCTTATACACATCTAGATGTGTATAAGAGACAGGCTAGAGATGGCTGGCTCTAGTAATTCAAGTGAGTTTAGTTTAGTTATTGTTGGCTTCGGATTCATTACTCGAACTTCATCCTGTTCACTAACTTTGTTTTCCATTTTCTTCTTGCCATTTACAATTTGACCGATCAAGTTTGGTAACTTTGGTAACTTCTTTGGTAACTTCGGTAACGTTGGTCGGTCAAATTGTAACCTCGGTAACTTTGGTAATTTTGGTAACTTTGGTCTGCAAGTTTGGTAACTTTGGTGAGCCATTTTCTTGCAGTTTGCAATTTGACCGAGCAAGTTTGTGGTAACTTTGGTAACTTTGGTTATTTTGGTAACTTTGGTAGGTCAAATTGTAACCTCGGTAACTCCAGTAATTTTGGTAACTTTGGTCGGCAAGTTTGGTAACTTTGGTGAGCCATTTTCTTGCCGTTTACAATTTGACCGAGCAAGTTTGGTAACTTTGGTGAGCCATAAAATTTCTGTTCCGCCGAACGAAGTCTAAGGCTTTCAAATGTTTCTCTTTTCCACTTTCCATTTTACCCAATCGAAGGACTCGACCCTACCAAAGGATCGCAGAGATGCGTTGCGTAAAGTCTCTGAGGATCCCAAACAGCTCGGCGGTCGCTGGCCCGGGCGAGCGGACACACTTTTTTTGTGGTTACCTGCTGATTGAACATTGCTTGGGGAACCTCGGTAACTTCGTCAACTTTGGTTTCCATTTTCAGTTTTTGACTGAGGTTTCCGAAGTTACCGCCATTTACAGTTTTTGACCGAGCAAGCGTGTCTGGAGCTCCTTGTTAGAGTAAATGATTCCTTCTCAGAGTAGAAACAAGAGGGACCTATTCTACTTTCCTTCTCTGGAAATGACCTATAGGTGCGGCGGCTGTCTTCCCCCCCCCCCCCAAAAAAAAA